CAAAGCTGAGTCAGACAAGAACTCAAAACACCAAAAATTCAAAACACATCTCTGCGCTGTGATTGGCCCGCCAGTTCTAGGCTAGACCACTCGCAGGCAAGAATGATTTTGGCCGCCGGCGGGTGAGGCTAGTTACTAGGCTAGCATTCAATCTGAACGTAGCATAGCAGGAAACCGCTCACCTGTAGTTCTGACAGTCTAAAGTATATTAAATGTATTGAGTATTGTATCGAGTTTCGGCCAATGGGCTTGATGCACAATTCCACTACTTCCCTAACTTACTGGATTAACTGGATGAACTGATTAGTCCAGGTGTGCCCGGCCATGGTTACCGAGGTCAGACACACCTGGATTAATCAGCAAAGTAAGGCAGGAAACAAAAGAGCTGCAGGTAAACAGGCCTATTTAAAGCACTCTGCCGTCACCACAGCAACTACACCCCATGTGATGCAAACACACCTATTATTATGGATCCTACATAATCCTTTCACCAACATTCACGTTATTGCTTACCCCCCCGACTGTGATTGACTGAATCACTTAACTTTAACCTCCAATTACACTTAGTAATAAATTCATAATTCACTGCTGGACATCGGCCCCTACCGCCCTAAACTCTGGCTGAGAAGCCACTGAAGATAGATGTATATAAATAATCTCAAAACAATTTATGTTTTTATTACTAGGCTTCAGAATAATGATTTTAATGATGTTGGCCTCATTGTTGGGGAATCATTTACTTTTTCTAAACTCAATGCTCGCAGTAATTAATCATTAACCATGTTTTATATTCTCTATGCTTTGATAGGATTCAACCGATTCAACTAGTCATTTGGGACAGTTGTGGGGAGTGGCGGCCTCGTAGTTAGGGCATAGTGTTTGGAATCCTGAGGTTCTGAGTTTGAGCCCCACTCCCACAGACTGCCACTCTGGGTCTCTGAGCAAGACCTTTAACCCGGAACTGCTCTCTAAGGGAATGGGTTAAATGCAGAGGTACATTTCTCCAATCTAAGATCAATAAAGTTCAATTATTATTATTATTTCCTCTCAATATCCCTCATATGATGCTGGATTTTAGATTAAATAGGAGCCTTCTAGCTCCCTGGATCAAAAGGCCAGCAGTTAGAGCACCTCTTTATGGTTTTACAGTGACCTAGTCAAAGTCTATATCTGATTATTACTGTTTGATTAGATATTTATACTATGATGGCCTCTAGTTTTTCAGTCTTGAACGAATAAGAAGGCAACCAGCCGCATAAAGAGTTAGAATCAGGCTCAGACTGGGAACGATTTTCAGCCCTGGCATTTTTCCATTTACACCGGCCCACACATGGACAACCCCCCCTGAAAACGAGACAGTGAGTGCTGCTGCCAGACATCCACTCACACATACTCACCACATCAGCAGGGTTGCCAGATGTCACTGACTCACGTTTTCCAGCCCAAATAAATGTTCATACGAATATGGAGATACAAATAAGGCCCAATTTGAACCAAAGTCTATTGATCTCTTAGGCCATAAATCTAAAGAAAAACATTTTCTACCCATAGACGGCCATCCTAAACTGCCAGATCGGGAATCATCTCAACCTGGCAACAATGAATGTAAGACGGGAAACGTTAGCCTTTAGATGCACAACCCATCATGCACTGCAACATTGTTAGGTTTATTCAATGATGATTATAAAATTAATGTGTGCTTATAAAACATTTGTGCAAGGCGATGCTCCACTCCTGTCTCATGATTCAGTCAGGAGACCATCCTGCCTTGTCATTCTGATGGAGCATTCCGTCTCCATGAACTGATCAATTGTTCTGTCAGAACAATACTCTGTTTGTAACCATGCGTCATGTTCTGTTAATAAAACGCTCTGCAGAGGAGGTCCGGTGGGAGACGGTGTGTTTGAGTCTGGGGTTCAACTGTCTCTCCTTTCTGCAGGAATTGTATCCATAAATTGTGTATTTCAGTTCTTCTTAAGCAAAAACCTACATTTTATGAACCCGACAAACATATTTAAGCAAAATATTTGAACATAAATTCGCCAAATATAAAAGGAACATCGTAGTTTGGTTTTAAAAAAAGCATTTTAGTTTTATTATAATTTAGTTTGTTGCAAGAAATAGGATTTTACAGTTTGAAGAAATAGAAAATTACACCAAATGCCAACCGTCACAAAGATGAGCATAACAAGGAAGGGCTATATATACTGCATGCATCATTTAGGGCAGGGGTCTGCAACCTTTCATATCCAAAGAGCCGTTTTGCGCAGAGTACGACCAAATAAAAGATGTTTAGAGCTGCAAAATATACCATGACTTTTTCTAGAAAACCTCTTTTTTTTTTATCTTGTATAGGAAATCAGTTGTTGCCATCTCAAACAATCAATTCATATATTTTTTATGTTAAAATGTATAATTTTCAAGCTAATTCACAGAAAAATGTCTCATATTTCTAGTTCTTTTAAGCTCATTCTTTTCCATCTTATAAAAAACGCTAAAACTACTGATAGCGGTATATATTGTAGTAAATTATTTAGCTTTTTATATAGATTTTAGCCACTATTAAGAGCCACTGGAGAGGGTCCAAAGAGCCCTATGTGGCTCTGGAGCCGCAGGTTGCAGACCCCTGATTTAGGGAGTTAACATTGGATTAGTTCTTGAGCTCCTTGAGTTATTTACTGTCACAGGTAGGAGCTTCGGGTGGAGAGGAAGTGTACGATTTAAGGAGGGTCGACCCTCGAACGCTGAAAGTAAGACCGGACCTATCACAGATCACCAGTCTGATCCTGGTTAGAATAAACATCAAAACACATTAAGTTATGAGATGGATAAACTAATAACTTCAGGTTTGTCCTCATGTGTAAACTCACTAAAAATCTCAAGATTTAAACATCTTTAAAAATTTAGATAAAAAGACTCATCTGCAGCTCAGAGAGGCGAGTCTCACCTGAGCCAAAGTACAGCAGGTAGTTCAGGTTGCAGCCGTCAATCACCAGCCGGCTCCTGTTGAACTGGACCTCACGGTAAACCTTCGGATGTTTTTCCACGAAAGAAGCCAAGCCCTGGACGCCCATCTTCACTCTGTGCTGCTGATGTCTCAGTCAGCCTTTATATAGCAACTCCACCTCTCTTTCATTAGGTTTCATTTTCCCAACATCATAACAGAGTCACACACTGACTGCTGCTGGGTTAAAAATAACATCAGCTGGACTGTGACCGCCTATAAACCGCCTATTTGTTTATGATCACAACAAAAAAGGTCAATAAAGGCAGGATCATTTCTCTGTGGACCTGAATGTCTGGTTGAGATCTAATATTTGTTGTTTCCTTACATAGTTGCATGTATTGTTTGGCTGTGACTCCATCCTGGAGAGAAATATCAGCTGTGCTGCTGCCATCAACACCTTTGTTTCTAGATGTTGGAG